GCAGCAGCAGCAGCAGCAGCAGTGACAGCAGCAGCAGCAGCAGTGACAGCAGTGACAGCAGCAAGAGCAGCAGCAGTGAGGATGGTACCATCGAGAGCCAAAGCAGTGAGAGCAGCAGTGAGAGCAGTGAGAGTGATAAAGGTTCCAAGACGGTAATTATAATGTAAAATCTCTGAGTAGTTAATGGGAGCAAGGAGGCAGAACCAGTTTCATTCAAGCAAACATGTGTAGCTTTATCCTTTCTGGCTAATGTGAATTACAAGTTGGCCAACAGCTATGAGAGTCCATCTGACTTAGGAAGGAACTCCCCAGCCGCCTTGCTTGTTAGTCCTATGTTCTGATCCTTGGAATTTGAAAGCTAAGCATTAGCTTACACATGCATCAAGTGGAGCTCACCCACAGAGATTTCAACACAATGTTATAAGACACGGCATTTAACAACAAATCTTGACATGAAATAGGAAGGTTGGTCTCCATCTTATTAGCTGGCTATTGTGAAACTTCTGGTTGCCTATTGGACTTTCAATGGAGCATTGCAGTAAGCAATTTTACCAAAGAGTGTGCCTGCATCTGATTCCCCTAAATTCCACAAAAGCAGAATGATAGTGAACAACTATACACACTTAAAAGGTAACAAGTTGCATGGAAGTAAGAACAATGATTTGGTTGATTTCTGTTCCTCTCTCATCATGTTGATGTGTCATCTGCTTTCTGGAGTATGAGAAATCAGCACTGGGTATTTAGTAGTGTTGTGCCCTGCAGTATTGTGTGTTTTGAATTAGCCCACAATGCAATAAGAGATAGAGATAATAGTGCTTGTAAATCAGTTATTTGGGAAAGCTTATAATGATGGCACTGTTGTTATATCACCGAATATTCATTTTAAAAATAGCATTTCTATCAAATATGGAAACTTTGAAAGCATCCCAAAGTATTATTTTAGCCTTTAAAAAGCAGTATTAATGAGGCTAGCCACTTCGTTTTAATCAGTCATTCAACAAAGTAGACATGGATTTTGATCTTCAAAGAGGATCTTCAGGGACATTCAGAAATAGCATTTCCATTCATATTATTTTAAAATTAATAGTTTATGTAGCACAGTGTGAAATTTTCTCTGAGTGTTCTTTTTTATTTATTTTTTTAAGGGAGTACCAAAAGAGATTCATAAATATGTTTTCCGATCTGTGAAGAAAGAGAAGGTAAGGCATGGGAGTACAGAAAATTTAAACAAAGCCAGAAAACTATTGATGGGATGTTAGTGGCAATGCAGTACACTATTTCTTTTTTGGGGAATGTTGGAAATATAATGTATTGAGATGAAGGTATCTGATTCTTGAAATGTTTCCATTTTCTCCATCTATCAGTGTAATATCTTTTGCTATTTATTATTGAAAAGATGGATAATTTCATCATACAGTTTGCGCCCCACTTGTTTAAAGTATTGATTATTACTTTCCTTTGTCAAAAGAAAAAGAAAACCAAACAGAAACCCTATATAAATAAATCACCACATCACTTTTTCAGCAGTGAAGTTTCTTGTCTAATCTGAGGTAGAAGAATGGTTTTTCAGCCTGGCACCTTTTGGAGATATTGAGAATATAAATTCCATAATTCCCTGCCATCATGACAAATTAGCTTGTCCTTCATAAATGTGTATTCTTCACATTTTTGGATGGCATTAGGTTAGGGAAAGCTGTTCTCATTAGGAGACTTTCTTCCGCTGCTCTAAAGCTGCTCTAGGGAAGCTACCCTGTTCATGGCACTGCATAATCTGAAATTTGCTTTAATATTTTTGATTTCAGCAGCCAGGAAAACAATCTGATGACCCCTCTGATTCTGACTCCCAGCTGGACTTTGATGAAAAAAATATAAAAGACTCTGCGGTCAGTATCCCAAGTACCTTTCTATTGGGAAACATTAATCCTGAAGAAAATTTACTTGTCTGGCTTAAGCATGAGAAACAGAAAAGGCAATAATGAGATTTAAGTAGTTTATATTTTATTTTTACCGTTGTATTTGTAGATATTATTTTAAACTTAGTATGCTACTTGGTTTTAATGGAGCCATGGTGGCGCAGTGGTTAGAATGCAGTATTGCAAGCTAACTCACTGCTCACTCCAGGAGTTTGATTCCGGACTCAAAGTTGACTCAAGGTTGACTTAACCTTCCATTCTTCTGAGGTCGGTAAATGAGGGCCCAGATTATTGGGGGCAATATGCTGACTCTGTAAAGCGCTTAGACAGGGCTGTAAAGCACTGTGAAGCGGTATATAAGTTTAAGTGCTATTGCTAATCCAACTGAAATTTCATGTACGTAGTGAAAATAGTTAAGATCCTAATATTGTGCAAAAATGATCATATATACAATTGTTATCAATAAAAAAGCAAGTAGTTAAGGATCGACTTTTAAGAGATAGACACCCTCCCCCCAAAGCCTAACAAACAAACCTCATTATTCTTTGAAAGCAAGGATGACAACCTATAATCCTGCAATTGTTGTTGGACTATAGCTACTGTCAAATGTGATTGTTGGTCAGGCCGATCTAGTCTTACAGGGTCTGGGGTTTAAGACTATCTGGCTATATTAAACGGATAAGTAATTGAGAAACTTCCAGGTGTGCTTTTTAGCTCTCAGAAGTTACCCAGATGCCAGAGTGACCTATGTAAGCTAAGCATCAACTGATGAGCCTCTTTACTAATACATTTGGGAGTTAGTGGTAATTATGTTAGTCACTTTAAAATAATGTACTTGTTAAACCCAGAGCAGCATTTAAATAAATTTCTTCCTTTGGATTTTTTTTTTATCTAAAGTTGGAGAGACGTATGCTCATTACTTTCCGCTACCTCTATGTTAATAAGAAAGAAAGTGGACATGATGTTGTAGTGCTCAAACATTCCTCTGCAGTTAAAGTGACAGTGAAAGACATCGCCCGCCCAAGCAAACCGGTGGTCTGCTTCACCTATATTGAGCTCAACCCTCATAAAATAATGGTAAGCCTTTTCAAAACGTACTGGTTCCCTATGAGCATTAAATCCAAATATCAGTGACATACGTTAAGCGAAATTATATCTGATATATTTCTTTCCTTCTTAGGCAACTCTGAGAGCTGGTCAGGATTGCAGAGACAGCAGTATTTCTCTCGTACTAGAGACCGGTTTGTTTGCTGGAAAGCCAGCTCTTCAGGCAAAATTTAACTACCCTAAGGTTCCTGAGAACGTGAATTATGTTATAGATGAGTAAGTAAATGTTTCTGATGGTCTAATGCTGTATGCCACAGCTGCTGAGGTGTACATGTGTCCTTAACTGAGCCTGAATCCTTCACAACAAAGAGGTGACTTTGCTTTAATCTAATGTGTGTTTCAAGCTAGTTCTGGTATCCAAGTCTGGGCAATATTAGAAATTGATCTGTGAATAAATTTGCATTTATCTCATTTTTCAAGGAGAATAGCCTTCAAAAAATAGCTAGTTTTTTTCCCCCTGATAAGATCAACAATTATATTTGATGGAGGCAGATCAGAATTATGGAGTACACTACTACTATTACTCATACATTTATTTCTATTAACAAAATAGCTACTTTTATTACACCTGATCAACATGAATAAATGAATTGGTTCCTCAACCAAGTACTCCTTCTTAAAGGCAGCTATCTTTAAATAACTTGATTGGTTAAGGAAGGAAAGAGTATTGGCCATTTTATTTGATGTTTTCAAACTATCTATATAACCTATTGCTGTATGAATCTAGATTTTTTTTGGGAAGATTCCCTATAAGTGCATTTCCACTGCCACTCCATCACCCATGCAGGCAATAGAATAATAAATGTCAAAGCTAAATGCAAATCAGGCTGCTAACTGCTCTTATCCAAATCAATCTTTAAATATCATCCACCTGCTTTGCAGACTAAATATGACATATTGTGGATTATGAAGTTTGTTCTGAGGGTTGTTTTCTTAGATACCGAATGTCCTTCCTATATCCCTTAAATTGTGTGTCGTTTTCTGTCTTTGTCAAGAATTCTTGCAGTGCTCCCTGGAATTGCCTACCTAGGAGGCTTCACTCACAAAGTCCAAAAGAACCCTCCTAAAGAAATTTCAATGGTTATGGCTCTAAAACGTTCAAGCGAGTGTATCATGGTCATGAAATTGCCACAAGTGAGTTACACATTTTTTTAGACAACTGGGGTTTTTGTTTTGTTTAAAAACCAATCAGTTGTACATTTACTTGTTCATTCTAATCAGCTTTGGTGGGATTCTGAAAACAGCTGCTCTATAGCTATGTAAAAATAGGAAGAATAACAGGAGAATGTTATTGCCATTTTGAGGGTTAGTTTTTGGCCTGCCACATGTGTTGCTGAATTCTTCCTATGTATATACAGTAAGGCCAGTAAGATCTGGCTGTCCAATCAGTCAAGGTAAAGCAGTAATCCAATGAGAGAAGGAAATTGATTAGGACTAGTGTACTGATGAGCTGTATCTATAAAGTAAATAAAAACAGACTCTTTGTGCCTCATTGAAAATGCACTGGGAAAAATAACTAAAGGTACCAGCTCTACTTATTTTTTTGTTTTCATATTTCTTTCCAGGATCTCCTCTACAATGACAGATGCACACTTCCAATTTCAGTGCCAATGGATCCCAAAGTCCAAACTTCAAAAATCTCTGAAATTCCAAAATTGCTTCTTGCTAGTCTGAATGGTCAGCAGTTTTGCTATATACTTATTATAATTTCTGGACAAACTTGTCGACCTTTCAATGATGTTGAATATCAGTTCCCATAATTCCCTGCCAAATGATCAGTAATCAGAGCTGATGGGATTCAACACCATCTGAAGGCTCATAGGATTCCTTCCTCTACTTCAACTGTTTCAAAATATATTATATTATAAAATTAATTTGATTTATTTAAATTCATTTGAATATGTAGAGAAAGCCATAGCAACTTAAGATCTAAGTTTTATTCCTAGCTCAAATAAAAGGCAGATGTATAATTTGTATATAAGAGTATACCTCAAAGTGTTTCATAGCCGATGTGGAGCAATCACTTTAAATCTTATTTCACAAATAATTTAAAACCCAACCAGTCTAAAAATTCATCACTTACTCTAACTTAACCTGTGAGAATGCAAAGAAAATATTAAAATGAGCTGAAAATAAATCTCCCTTTAAAAATATCTACAGATTCCTACATTAGGTTTCTGTGATCACAAATGTAAAGTTATTTTCTCAAAGTTCTAAAATACAATTTATTAGCTGCTTCTCTAAATAGTCAAAATATTAGAAGCTTAATTCTTCTCTCATTGCATTCTTACTTGCTGTTATCAGGTGTTTGTGAAATAGATGGCAAAAAAATTATAAGCTTCAACAATCAATTCATTACAAAAGGATTGCCTGACAACTGTTTTATAAATGTATTGGGAGATTGTACATGTCGCAAGAACCTGATGGTGCTGATGAAATACGAAACAGAAGAAAATAACAGTCTTCTAATTGAAATCCATACACATGGCATGTAAGTAATTTCCAGTGCATTTTTAATAATCTAGCCTGAACTCAGGATAAGAGAAAATGTAATTTCTAAATTATCAGAAAAGAATCATTCTATTATAAATTTTGTAAGTTTTATGAAAACCTAGACAATTTTATTCAATATTTGAGCAAATGAAATATAACTAAGCAATAACCCAAACTATAACAACTGCAATAAAAATGAAATCACAACATTAGACAGTTGAATAAATCATGCATAGTAAGGATGAGGATAATAATAAGAGCATCGGCTGCATTAGAAAATTAGAAAACATTTGTGTTACTGGAAGAGAAGAATAACCAGAAGAGTGTTTTGTGTTAAAAATAAATGTCAGATTTTTCTCTGAAAATCAAGAATCCAGCTTTGAGGGAGATGGATGGTTCAAAAATGTGAACAATAAATAAACAAATGAGCGTTTCAAGATTAGGTTTGGCAGGAACTGTGAAGGAGGATATTCTGTGCTGTGCTTGTAGATGAAAATTCTGTTACCTCTAAACAACCAGCATTTTTCAGCCAGTAATTAGGATTTTAGATATTGAGATACTTGTTATAATTGGCTATTTTAAATGGTATGTCTCTTTATGCCTGATAAAATAAACTTTTGTAAGAGAATAAGATAATGTTCAATGTTAACTCACTTACTAATGTAAACATATTGATCAAAAACTCATAAATTTTGAACTCAGCACGCTAACTTTTTTTTACGTTTTCTGTTTCTATAAGCGTATGTACCATGAAGAGGCGTAATGGTGAGCTCATTGTAGAAGTAAACGGCACTAGGCTACAGGATGGAGTTCTCCCTCGTAAACTCCAACGTACGTAAAGAAAATAATCTTAATCATCAGTTAATGTAACAACTGAAGAGTTTGCTTTAAAAAAAATCAAAGAAACTAAATTCATTGCAAAGAAATAGAAAATAATGATATAGCATAAATAGAGGAGAAAAACTGAATTTAAAAACAAGTATTGATTGATTCTGGATTTAGAAATAGTCCTTCAATTATGTGTTCCCCATACATAAAGGTAGAATTGTTTATATTTCCTGACTCTAAAATATATTAGAGGGGTAGTTTAATGATCAGGAATGTTCAGATGGGAATGGGAGAAGAAACGAAGAACAGTAGTCCCTGGAGAAATTTTATTTGAGGAGAATTCCATCTATTATCCCTCTTGGTGGAATCATCAATTTAACTTTCATTTCACTTTTTACCCTTACAGATTTGCCTCTTCGATTGAAGAAAACAGTAAGTGAAGTGGACTTTAGAATGCCCTTAGTTGGATTAGAAAAAGTGACCTACGAAGGAGATACTGCCAAGGTATTTTTTTATTATTATATATTGCTGTCATTATTACAGAATATTTAAAGTTGTAGCATGTTAAATGATAAGAATATACAGGAATGAGTCTTGCTCCTTTAGAGATTAATTAAGTTATTGATGTGCTTAGGAGAACAGCACTTGAATCATATAAGATTTTGAAATAAATTGTTCTGAGGAATCCAGTTTAAACTTCTGGGGGGGAAATGAACAAAGACAATTTGAAATCCACTCAAATTATGTTTGAGGTTACATCTCTTTTCATGCTTGTTGTAAACAAAACTCCATTTTTTTTCTCTTTTTGTGAAGTTTGAAGTTAATACCGTGATAGAAAATTCATGTGGTCTCTGTGGATGGTATGGATCAGAAGCAAGAAAGTTACGGAGACCAAGTGGCCACTCAGCTAAAGATGAAGTGAGCTTTGTTCAGTCCTGGGTGGTCCCTGATGCATGTGGTGGAGGTAAGCAGACTCTGATGATTTGCATTAATAGTCACCAACAATCTGCTCCAGATTTTTCCTTGCTCGGCTCAGCATTTTGACATCACTGTTAGCAACTGAATTGAACCATCACTTTAATTTCCTATAATGGTTCAGAAAAGAGTAGCCAATGGCTGTTAGGAATTAGTATTGCCCCAAAGTTGATCATTGTATACCTGTAAATAAATTGTTTGGAATACATTCATTCAAATCACATACCTTCAAAGCTAATAAGCATGAACATGATGCTTTAATAAATGCTACTTTGAGAAATGAAGCTGTAGAACTCCTAGTTTCCTTTAGAAGATTTAAAAGAAACCTATGTTATTCTCTTGTAGACTGTAAACTGCGACACACAACAGTAAGACATGAGAATCCAATCCTAATGGGCCAAGAAAATCAACAGTGTGCAACCAATCTTCCTGTCGTACGCTGTGCTGAAGGCTGCTCAGCCACCAGTACTACCCAAACCTTAGCTAGCTTCCATTGTGTGCCTGCTGGTAAGTTCATGTAACGTTTACTTATTTCAGTTATTCTTATAACCTGTAATATATAGGGCAGACACACTAGATGATTCACTTAAGAAGTATTTTATGGGAATTTTCTGCAGTCTCTTGGTTTTCAAATATTTTGTTTTTAGAGAGGAGCACCAAAGAGCTTGATTTTATTGGGTCATTCAGAATACTATAAATATTTTGTTTGCTCAATAGTGGGATTTACCTCTTCCCACTCTTGCTTCTATGTGGAGAAGAAAGAGCCTTTTAAAAAAAAGTGTCCTGAACAGTATAACAGCCATAAAATTTTAAAAGAATCTTAATGTTTTTAACATTTTGTCTTAATACTTGGTTTAAAGTGGGCTTGACTGTTACCTGTTTTCTATGATCATGATACGCATATACAGCTACCTACTGGACTGCAGTCCAGTCTTAACTCATAAATATTTAGAAATATCTCCTATTTATTATGAACAGGCTTAAATACTAAACAGGAAATATGCTCTGCTGTTCTAACTGAGCTTGGCATAAAGGACTGGGTCAAATTAGATTTGACTATTTACTTGCATAAATTCAGGGAATGTGCATATCTGAGGAAGCTGATTTATCCTCTGGATTATGGAAAGTGAGATTGAGGGGAAAAATTATCCCCTTTCCCTGCTGCAGTCCCAACTGAAAGTCTCTTTCTCAACTTTTCCAACACAATAATAGCTTGAGGAAAATTATTCTTGCCAAGACTGGGGTGGGCTTTAATAGTGGTGAGGGAGTTTTCTTTGGCCTTGCAGAAAAAATATTATTTGTCTTGCACCAAGTTTCTTCTTTTAATGATTTTACTCTTTTTCCCTCTTCCTCCAGGAACAACCTTGCCTACTGACCTGACCGTGCTGGCTGAAAAGTCTGAAGATTTGGTAGACTTAGTTGAATCTCACACATCCTGCTCTTGTGAACAGGAACGATGTGTTGCATGATCCTTCAACTGAGCAGACTCAGTGCACGTTCTCTTGTTTGCTGTGGAGGCTGATATGTCAATTCTAGGCTACTACACAGTTGTTAATTAAATTATTTTAAGAAGCCTACTGTACCCTCTTAAAGAATCCAATTCTTCCTAAAGTAAATCTAAGCCTTATTCCAATATAACAAAGTCAACTCTAAATGAAACAGATAATTTTCTAATAAACACTTGCATTTCAAAAGAAAAATAAAGTGGTGGCTTCTTTATTTCATTAGCGAAGTGCAATGAAAGGTTGCGTTTGGTAGAGCAAAAATGATTGGGTATTTGGATAATAGGAAGTGCTTTTTAAAATTATATGTTACTGCTAGAATTTTCATTAGAATTTCTGTTTTAAATAAATACTTTCCCGCTCAGTGAAAAATGTATGTTTCTCACATCATTGAGAAATACTATATGGCAAACTTCTCAGAAGCTATACATGTTAACAGAGAAAGAATAATATTCAGATTTATGGAGTTAAATTACTTGGAGTAAGATAAGCAGACTGAACTACCTTCAATTATAATATCCATAAAGCCTCCATGCTACATAAGTTAATACATTTTGTTAACTCATTCACATATCTATTCCAAAAGAAAATATTTATCTTGGTTTAAACCCTCTTCCCAATTACCAGAATGTCTTTATTTTATTTTAAAATCACAAATTGAAAAATCAAGCCTTCAATGACATAAAATAATATAGTAATACCGGTATATCCATCCTGTCCAGAATCAGTAAAAGGAAAAAGAACTAAGTGTGTGTGTGTGTGTGTGCGTGTGTGTGTGTGTGCGTGCGCGCACGCTCATGTGATTATGTTTTCGTAAACAAATCTGACCATTCAATAGCCCGTATTTGAGCAGAGATGACAATGGCAGTTTCAAAGTAGGGTGAATGGTGGAGATACCATTTTAATGGAGTAGAAGCTGATCCAGTGTTTACCTTTCTTCAAATTAATGTACTGTAATGAGATCCATGTTCTCCATTGTAGTCTTGGCTCCATGATCTAGTGAGATTGTTATTCCAATCCAGAGGTATTATTCTATATTTTTTAGATCATGGTGTGTGGAATGGGAGCAGAATAGCCATTTTTAGGTAGCATTTCTCAGTAGTGCTCATCAGTGCCCATAATAAAATTGTTGCCATCTAGATGGACAAATATTGCCTCTAATAGTTCAGTATGAAGAAGGGTGCAGGATGGAGTGAGTTTGCAAATGTATTGACATAGGCTCCTACTGCTTCATCATCCTACCTGTTCTATCCCAGCCTATGGCTGTCCTTGTTAAAGGCACAAGGACAAAATCCCTTTTGAGAAAATAGGCTGGAGACTCAAAAGAAAACAAACCCCTTTTAATATGGGTAACCAACCTGCCAAATAGTCCAGAAACAAAAGCAGCAAACACAATCCAATGGAGGAAATTGTCCACACGAAACCATACAAAGCAGAGAAATAGTCACCGGCAATACTAACAGAACATGATCTCATGAAATACTTTGCAACGGTTGCCTTCAGCAACCAGCACCACCCACACCTTCCCTTTTTATAAACCAGTCCCAAGGCGTTGCCTCTCAGTGCCTTCTCCTCCTCCCCTGGAGTTGTCCTATTGACTGCTGCTGATCTGCTCTCGCTAATTGCCTGCGTCTACGAGCATCAATCATCATGTCCATCAGGTGTGAATCCTCCAAGTCTGACTCATTCTCCCCACACAGCTGAGCTTCATCAGGAACACGACTGGAGGGCCCAGGCTCTTCATCAAACCGTGAGTCTTGTAATTCATCAGAGCCTCCCTCTGACCCTGATGGCCCTTCAAATGCCTCCTCCATCTCCTCCTCAGATTCCCCAGACTCAACTGTTGGGAACACAGGCTGGCACGGAATCACGACAACCTAAAAGTCCAATACTTCTACAGATTGGTCCATTGTTGGAAATAAGGAATCCACATAATAATTAAACCAGAGTGGTATTAATTGAATAGAAGAGCCTGTGCATGAGCAAAATGTCTGATCTCATAGCCCAAACCAAATTGGTCATAGTAGGTAGAGCTATATGATCAAAAGAAAAGGAATATGCCCACACGAGCTTCAAGTGGCCATTGGGATCCAAGTAGATCACAGGTATAACCATGTCTTTTCCAACCACCTCACTGAAGTGACACAAATAGATAGTATGACAGCATTTGTATTGGGAAAAGACAGCTCCTTTTTAACAGCAGACCAAGTACACTACCTCTATATCAGGCTGCAAACGACTTAGAGTTGATGATAAAAAGTCAACAAGTTATCCTCACGTCCTGGTTAGAAGGATATAAAAAAAATTAACCATATGCCTTAAAGTAGTATGAGCAGGTTTGCATTTGTCTGATTGTGTGAAACAACAACAACAACCCTGAGGAGTTGCAATGAAAGAGGATTTATGAAACTATCAGGTTACTTTTTTTTTCTTTAAGCATCTATGAAGTGAAGGCGACATCAGCCAAAGCCCAAGAACTGGGGTAAGGGAATGGGTGAGAAGAGCAGGGAAGGATTAGGCAAGAATTATAGGAACACAGACCTTTACTGCTGCCAATAGAAAGAGTATTTCTGTGTAATTTACAATGCTCCACAGCTAAAGCAGTTATACTTTCAAGTCTCACACCAAGATGGCAGCATGTGAACATAACAATCTAGAGTTGATTGTAAAGAGGTGCAAGGAGACTGTAGGCAAGTATCCTCAGAAGCAATGAGAATCAAAGAGCTGCTGATGAGGAACTTTCCACTCACTGCTACTGTTATATCAACTGAGCTGCCGTTCTACCTCTTGGCTTTGCAGAGGTCATCATTTCCTGAGAGGAAGAACAATGGAAAGATCTACATTTGCCAGGCAGATCTAGATTCAATTAACCTGACCTACATGTGTTCAAGCTCACTACTTTATTATATTCTGCCTATTATACAGTTCTGAATCTTTTGCAACTATGCAAGGACTTAAGGCCACCTCCTATAATGGCTCAGCTCCTAAAGCCACATTTGAGGCATATGTCTGGACAATAAATCTCTTTGATGGGTCTGGAGAAGGGGCTATTTGGTAAAGAGCTGTTCTGGAAAGAACTGTTGGTGGTGCAGGGATTAGAATGCAGTATTTTGCCCATAGTCTGGAGTTGGATTCTGACAAGGCTCAAGGTTGTGTTATGTTTATGTTTATGTTTATTTAGATTTGTATACCGCCCTATCTCCCTTACGGGACTCAGGGCGGTGAACAGGCGATAATAAAAATCACAATAAATATCTATTCTAAAATCAAATTAAATAAATAAAGGCCTGCTCTAAAATACCCCATATAAAAACCTATACTAAAACCTAATTAAGACTACGCCAGGCCGGCCGCNCCCTCTCTGTGGGAGCGGACTGGTCGAAGGGAGGTATTTGGTAGGAGGCGGTCTTGCAAATACCTAGGTCCATTGCCATGGAGCGCTTTAAAGGTTGTTACTAACACCTTGAAGCGCACCCGGAAGGCCACAGGCAGCCAGTGCAGCTCACGCAGGAGAGGTGTTACATGGGAGTATCTAGAGGCCCCCAAAATCCCCCCGTGTTAGCCTTCCAAGGTTGGTAGAATAAGGACTCCGATTATTGGGGGGCAATATGTTGACATTGTAAAGAGTGCTGTAAAGTATTGTGGAGTAATATATAAGTTGAAGTGCTATTGCTATTTAACTTTTCGAATGAAGATTGCTCTCTTTCTGTTCAAATGTCAAATTTCACTTTTTTTTTCAGCAATTGAGTGAGAGGCTTAACTTTATGTGCAAAGTTAGGAATGAATTACCTTTAAAAATTAGCAAAGCTTAATAAATGCTGTACCTCTTTCGCATTATAGGGGATTGTCAGGAGAGTACTGCGTGCACCTTCTGGGGATCCCATCTGTGGAAATCTTTTAACCCAGAAAGCCTAACTGCTTCAAGTCAAATGCACATTTCTATTTGCACATTAGCAAATAGGTGATTTTCCTATGGTCTGCACAAGACCTCTCATACATGGTGTTTATAAACTTTCTCATCCTCTGAGCAAATTAGGATATCCTCCAAATAAATCACTACAAATATGTCAATTACATCAAAAAAAAAATTGGTTCATAAATTTAGAAAACTCTGGTCCACAGTTGAAGTACTAGCGTCATACTGCAGCATTAGTCATGCAAAAATGATCTGCGATCTAGTGAAGGAGTGGATCCAATTGTAGGCGCAGTGGTACTTAGTATAGTGAAACTTCATTTTGGCATACCTCAATATATCAAATTTTGAATATAATAGTTTCAAATATCAAAAGTTGATCAAATGATACAAATAATGATGGATGGATAATGATTTTATTGTACAAATGATATAAATCACAATGACACACTAGCTTAACAATTACTTGTGAATAAGACACACCCTTTCCACATTTAGTTTCTTAAAACAAGATTTCACTGTCTCAGTATGACTGCAAGAATTCCAATTGGCCAATCTCTTTCCCCTGTGTGAATGCAAATATCACAGGAAAATTATGTAACACCAATGAAAAGTTTTGGGATGATTATGAAGTATGGATTTTTGCATTTATTATCCTCTTTTTTTCTCCAATCCGATTGAAACGAGCAGATGCATCGATTACAGAATCCAGTTCCCTTCGTGTTCGATCAAGGCAAACTTCTGACAAGTTAGGGATCAATTATTTTATTGGGATTCTAGCCAAAATGAAAAAAAAAAAAAAGAATTTAGAGAATCTTTTTCACCAGGGGTGTCCTGTATGCATGTATATTTGTGAAATACAGAGAACACGCCTACCTTGAAACGAGCAAAACTTGTGACTTCCTCAAGAGGATTCTTCTTCTTAAAAAAAATTAAAATGGGGAAGTCTCTATTTCCTTCTTGGCTCATTTTTTTTCGCCTCCATATACTGGATGAAAGACAGCATCAGCGCTAATCACGAAGACGGACGCCTCGATCGACGCTAGGGGGCGCTCACGGCCCCTACAATCGAACAACCCAGATCCCCTCCCTCTCTGAGCAGCGCCAGGTTCCCACCTTCCTGCAACCAGGCAGGTTCTTCCTCAGCAGGGAAGGGCAGGGCGACCGAAGCGAAGGGCAGGGGAGCGCGTTGGGGACGCTGTTAGAGAAGCCGATCCGACCCGGCGCGCCCTGGTCATG